TGCACATTCTACCACTATTGTTTCTTAGGAAAAACACAAATAAAAAAATAAATCAGCAAACATTTGTGGTTAGAAGTGCAAATTTATATCCTATGCTTATAGCAATGAGAAACAAAAAAGACCTTAACAGCCCAAATTGCATACAACTCCTAATACAAAACAATATTTTTTATTCATATTCATAATAATTGTTCTTGGCTATTTGCTGATAAGTCAAGAAGTCTCCAAGCAGCCCTTGGATCCAATTCTGTCATATCCCTACACAAAACCCACACATAGTGTACTCTAAGAACCTTTTCTGGATCACCCTCTAAAACAGCTCCTTTTGAGTCTCTAAGACACATAATTTGCTGTGATTGGAAACTAATGACAAGAACTGGCCCTTGGTCCATCATTTTGCCCATTGATAGATCTACATCTTTAATATCAAGGATTTTAGAATCAAATCGTGCACCCATTTTCTGCGCTTGTTTAATGGGAGTTGAAAGTATATTGTAAGGCCCCTCATGGCACCAATCCTTTAAAATTTCAAGGTCACCGCGTACCTGTAAATAAAGAAATTCATTAGTTTAAAGTGAGCACTTAACAATATCAAGTAAGTGTTTTTTCCTGGAATAGGGTCTTATACCTACCATTGCTTCTAACACATTAGGAATAATATCAGTCTCACAATGACGTAAAAATTGAAGTCTGTCAAAATTAGGATCTACTTTGCAGATTTCTGTGAGTGTTTCTGAGAGCTCAGTCTTTTGGAAGAGACCACCCATCATGTCAGTAACCCTTTCTGTTACTGCTCTTGAAGCTCTAACTAATGGATTGTCGCTTTCATCATATTTCATTTTCCAATCCAATACTTTATTTATGTACTGATTATTATCTTTAAAGTTCTGCCAGCTTTGATAAAACCTAAAGAGACAAAATTTAGTTGACACAAGTACACATAAGGCAAGTAGTTTAACAATATAGATGCCACATACTTAGAATCCTTATGAAGTTCCATGCCAAGAGCCTCTGTATTCGGTTCTACTGGTTTAAACTCTTCATCATCTGCGCCTTCACGGCGTTTACGTAATTTGCCTGGTGCTTGATAGACTCGACCACGTGTATCCAATTCCTCTTTTACTACCTGAGCAGCCTCAGACACAGTTTTAAATGCCCCACTTTTGCCAAGGGTTTGACCTTGTTCTGATATTTTTTCTGCAGCCTCTTTGGCGCTCTTTCCTATATCCTCAGTTATTTGACCTATTCAAAAAAAAATAAAAAATAAGAAGAAAAGAGTCATTGACAAGTAAAAAGCCAAATTGATTTCATGACTAATGTGTTGCACAGTGTGCTTCACACCAAGATGATTCTAAAAACAGTTTTGTTACTTACCAGCTTTTTTGGCAAATTCAGTTTTTCCAACTTCACCCATTGCTTCTTGAACCTTGCCTTTGAAAGCACCAAGCTTTCCCTTTAAAACCTCAGAACTTTTGCTGGCTTCAGACTCAACTGATTCAAACTTTTGTCTGGTAACAAAAATAATTCATAATATGACAAATCAAAGGTTACTTTAAGATATTGAATGCGGAATGACCAAATTGTTGATAGTTTTAAAAAAACTAGCCACACTTAACGTATGTTTACTGTTAAAAAATAAATATTTGACAGTTACCTTGCTTTGCGTAAAGCTTCAGACTGTTCGAGCTTTTGTCTCTCTTCTCTGAATTTTTTTAAGCTTTCTTTCATCTCTTTATTTTTTGTCATTTCTTGTTTAATGTTTTCCATGAATCTGCCCCACAGACTTGGCCTTCCGCCTTGATTGGAATAGGGACGCGTCTAGATAAAAGTAAAGAAACAGTTGTTTAAGATCAATAAAAGGTGACTCCGTTGCATAGATTAAAAGTGGAATCCACGAGCGAAGACATTAACTTACAACTTCATAATTGGAGGTGGGGAGACGAGAAAATGAAGAAATTGACGGGTAAATCCAACGATTGTGTGTTGGAAATCTATCAGCAACCACCCATGGTTTCATGACAGAAGGTATGTGCCGGATCTAGAATATTAAATAGAATAAGAATAAATCAATACAAATATTTTCTGTTACTTGGGATTCAAAATATACTGTCAATTGTTGAGAAGTTGACAATAATTTATCAATAATGCGAATATTCTTTGGTGGAATGATACTGAATGTACCCAAAATAACCCCCCCGGCCAAAGGTTACGAAGATTCATGAATGATGTATCATTACACCTGAAGGTTAGAACACAGACAAGAGATTTGGAGAAACAATTTCTATGACTTCCCATTGATGAGTTGAGGAATGTCCGGTATTAGAAATACATGTCTCCGCGAGTCTGATACGAAAAGATGAAGTGACAGTCCATAAAACATAAATTTAGCTGAGATATGGACCAAAAACTTCTACACATCCATCAAGAACAAATTTGCAGCCAAAATGATGGATTAATTAACTTCTACCAGCATGATGTAACTCTTTACTGACAAATCAGGCTTTGGATTTATTATCCTAAGAATATTTGAAACAAATTTAACACACCATTTTGGAAAATTATGTGTTATTCCACCCCCGGACACAACCGCAGACGGCCTTCTGATGTAACAATTGAAGGTTAGAGAGGCCCGCTGTTTCTCTTAGGGCGATCTGCACATGGTTCCACCCCCGCCCCCCTCGACCCCACCCCTCCCTATCCCTATCCACCGCCTTCTCTCACGGAATCGGCCTCGCGCGGGTAAAATGGCGCCGACTACAAACAGCATCGGCAAGTGATAGCTGCATTCAACTGGCATTCAAGGACCTCAACTCACTTTCTCTCTTCTTAAAAATGAAAAATCATCAATAATTGCTTGGGTACCTTCCATTGCTGAAGATATTCAACCATATTTTCTCACCGTACGAGGAACACACTCACTGAAAATCCATCGCAACGATGTATAGGTGTTCCAACAAATTTTGATTGAGGAAAGGGTTAACTTAATCCCCATAGAAGAATGGCAGCAAAGCGAGTGTCAGCTGGTGCGTTTCTGAAATAAATAAAAATGTGTTTACCAGTCACTGAGATGGCCAGGCTTACGGAAAAACTAGAAAAACCTCTACAGACCCTCCTTCGATCCACTTGGTTCAGCCCTAGAGGATTACGCGCTGGCACAGCAGCAGTTTGCCCAGGAGTGCGCCAAATCCACGGAGTGCAAGGCAGGCGCTAAAGTGCTGGTGGCGGCGGGCGGCGTCCCTCTCCTGGTGCACCTACTGTCCTGCGCGCCGACCTGGCCGGCGACGCAGGACGACGTCGTGGACGCGAAAGAGGGCTGGTTTACGGTGCGGCACATGGGTGGGCTTTCGTCCGCAGGTAAGGTAGGAACCTCGAATGCCGACGTGCGAATTCCACTTTCCAGGAGTCGCTGGAGCGAGTCGGTCGCCGAGACCTGGAGTCCAGCCGCCTGGAGACGGCGCGACTGGCCGCGGCCACCCTGGCGCACCTCGCCGCGCACAGCATGACCGCCAAGCACGTGGCCAGGCCGGCGGTGCTCGCCGTGCTGGTGGACGCCACGCAGCTGGTGCGCGCAGCGCAGCTCGTCCTGACTCGCTTTTTGCCTGCCCTCGCCACTGACTGCTCCCTCGCCCGCCCCTGGCGCAGGCCGTGATCGGCGACCTTGCCCTGGACGCGTTCACGTCGCTGAGCGCGCACTCCGCGGACCTGGCGGGGCGGTGCGTTTCGTCGGGCTGCCTAACACACGCGTTCGCGCCGGGCGGCGTGAGGATGTCCTCCGGACTCCCCAGCTTGCCCGCGCTTCGACTGGCCGCGTCACTAGCCCAGCACGGCGCCGACCTGGCCGACGCCGTCCTGGAGGCACCAGGTGTGGACCTGAGCCAGCGACGCCCCAGCAGCACGCCCACCAGCCGCCCTCCTCGACTCACCCGTCCTGCACGCCAGCACAGGTTTCCTGGAGCACGTGTGCCGCTGCCTGCAGCAGCCGGCGCGCGTGGGGCTAGCCGTGTCCGGGGCGTGGGCGGCGGCGGCGCGCGCCTTGGGGCTGGTGGCGCTGCAGGCCGAGGCCCTGGCCACCCGGGTGGCGCAAAGCGGTGGCCTGCAGCTGGTGGCCGCGCGCCTCGCCGTGCCGGCCTTCAAGGTGAGCTGGGCCGCCACGTCCTGGCCACGATGCCGAGCCTCGCCCTCACTTGGAGAGAGCTATGACTGCCCGCCTCGCGCAGCTGGAGGCGCTGACGGCCTTGTGGAGTGTGGCGCGCCACTCTGCAGCCCTGGCCGAGCTGGTGGCCACCCTGGACGACGACGTGATGGCGGGCGTGGTGGCCGCCCTGCTGGACCACAAGGAGGCCGTGCGGCACGCCGCGGCCCTGCTGGTGCGCGACCTCAGCAAGCGCACGCTGCAGCTGTCCCAACTGGCCGTGGACGCGGGGGCAGGCAGCGCCCTCGCGCAGCTGCTCAAGGACACACCGGGCCCGTGCCGCCTGCACGCCGCCGTCGCCCTCGGCTACATCGCCGCGCACTCGCCCGTCCTCGCCTTGGCCGTCATCGCCGCGCAGGTGGTGGAGGGCCTGGTGGCGGTGCTGCGCGAGGACGACGACGAGGCCGTGCTGGAGGCCGCCGCCTGGACGCTGGGTCAGCTGGGCAGGCACTCCGCTAAACATGTGGAGGAGATCGCCGGCCAACACGTGCTCACCACGCTCGCTGAGGTGAGGCCAGGGACTAAGGACTGACCTGGTAGGGAAGGCAAACTCCTCCTAGTCCGAGCGTTAATGACTGCGAGAATGGAGACAACTGGCCGTGACTCGCCGTAAGCGGCAATGTACTTCATGGTTGGCTACTTTGCTTCGCCCACTTTCGTAGTTAGGCTGCTCGGCGGGCACGCATGCGATGCGGGTGCGTTGCATACTCACTCGGATCGTATGGATTGTCTAAGAAGTACGTCCGTTTTGTCTTAGATTCACTCGACACACTGCGGAGGCTCGGCGCCTGCGATACTCGGGGTAGGCCACCCCGCAGTACACGTATGCACTGCAGGCGAGATGTTGCCTACCCAGAAGGCGCTCCGCGGAATGCATCGGCTGCATTGGCTGAACTCGGCAGTTTCGTAACGGCAGCGAATGACGGATGGTCCGCAGGTGATGTCGCGGCCGCGCTGCTCCGAGGACGTGTCGAACAAGGTGCTGGCCGCCATGGAGCACATCGTGCCGCGCTGCAAGAGCTCCACGGCGCTGCAGCCGCTGCTGCACCAGACGCACCCGCGCGTCCTGGCCCTCACCGTGCGGCAGCTGGCCAAGGTACCCGCCGAGCAGGGCCCCACCGCCACCCTGGGGGGCACGGGGCGCAGCCAAGGTCCACGGGGCGGCGACCTGGATGGAGGCACCCGGCACCCGGCGAGTGCCGGGTAGGCCCCCCGCCGCACGCTGCCGCGAGCTGGCCGGCCTACCCCGCCCTCGTAAGGCGCTCGCGCTGTGCAGCGAGTCCTGCCTATAGAGAGTGGGCCACGAGGGCCACGCCGCCAGTCCTGCGACGCGCCGTGTTCTCCGTCTTGTTGACCTGCCATGTTCGAAAATACCGCGCGCAAACAGACGGATCGTGGTCGCCGGGCCTGATGTGATGTATAGGATCGGCCCGCCCGCCCCGCCAGAGCGAGTGAGAGAAAGGCGGAGGTGTTTGCGGGCCGTCTATCGTTTTTATATTTGATATTTTCCCTCCATCTCGCTCCTACGCGCCACGCCCCGCCACGCCCACGCCACGCCCACGCCACGCCGCGCCACGCCACGCCACGCCACGCCACGCCACGCCCAACCTTGGCACAGCCCGGCGCGTGCGAGGGCGGCCGGGGTGGGACGGATTGGCCATCCATCCCCGAGGAGCGAGGAGGTGACGGGTCGCACGGAACGACGAGTTTCCGCACCTTATTTCAAACGAAAGGTGCATGCATTCGTCGAGAGGCTCGGAACTATCGCTCTCGCGTCTCGTTGCGGCTGGCGTACACTCTCTTTCTTATTCAAGTTTGAGAAAATAATGTGGCGCGTCCACGTGTTTATGTGGCGACGGCTGATGGCGCAGTGCAGTGTTCTCTGGCTGGCGGCGGCTGCGACACAATGAGAGACCCAACACATCTCTCATGGCCCGAGGGGTGCACTGTGCAGGCGCCGCTCCCCAGTTCGCCGGGGTCAGTGACCAGGGCGGGGGGCGGGGCGGGCAGAGGCGAGGCTAAGGGGAAGGCGTGCTGCACGGATGCCGATAGGGTCGCGTTTCAGAAGACAAGCTTTCTGTTATCAGACCGGCCCCCTCCCTCCTCCCGCCCCTCTTACCGCCTACTGCACCTCACCCCGACTTACTTGACGGGGTAGGTGTTGTTCAACCCGAGTCCGAGAAGGTGTCGGCCGGGGGCAGAGAGCAAAGGGGTTCGGCATTGGTGGCTGCGTCCGGGGGCAGCATACTCCTAGCGAGGAGAGAAGTCGTCGCGGTGATCGTGTGGGAGCGCGTGGGAGAGACGATATGCCGATTTGGATCACCCGATCCCCTCCTGGTCCCCCTTCTTTGTTGTTTCGGAATCACCGTGTCGTGTACCCGTGCGCGATTCCCGCTAGCGAAACAGCCGCGCGAACGGTTTTTGAAAGGCAGGGGGTGCCCCATGGGAAAATCTCGTCGCATCCACGTAGAATCTATGGTCAATTTCTATCTATCTACGTGATTACGTTATTTCTACGTCGAATCGACGTGAATTACATAGATTCACGTGAGGTCAGCGTCGCATCTACGTGGATAGGGTTACGTGGACGTCATTGCCTATGGGGTGGTTCCTGTAGGGACGACAATCACCAGATCCCCGTCAAAGCGTAAAAGCGAGGAATTCCCCCCATTGCCGTCCCCGCGACGACATGGGCGGCAGTAGTTTGGGGGTATCGCGTGCCACCCCGAGCCTGCCTTGCGACAAAGAGGTAACGAGGTAAATTGCCTGCGACTTGTCCCATCGCGGACTTGATTTGCCATTACACGGAGAGGCATGACGGTGGCGGGGTACTTTGCTCTCGCGCGCGGACTTTTAGTTCTCCTCGATCTCTCTGGGTCTAGGTCGAGTTCCCCCCGTTCTGCCGAGGACCTTTGCCACATTATAACGGAAGGGCCCAGGTGCGCCGCTAGGGCGAGGGGACAAGAGCGTCACAGAGGGTCCGCATAAAAAACTTTCTCTGGGTTTGATCCACGACGTGGACGACGGAATCGTTTCCTCGCCGCGACACGAGGAAAACATGACGCTTGTTTTTATTCTGCGCGCTCGATCCGACAAAACACCGTGTTCGTCTAAATATTTATCCCCCGCCACGCCGCGCGGCTCTTTCACCCCCTATTAACGCAGAGCAGCCCCCGCGCCAGGGGGAGGGAGAACTCGCTATGCTCAAAACGCGATGATAAACGGGCGCGCGGCGGGCGCAGCATCGCCTGCCGGTCACCGCAGTAAACACGAGAGTCAACCGCCGAAATAACGCGACGCGCAACGAGAGGGCGAGTGGATCGAGAGGATCGAGAGTGCGGCTGACGTGACGGCGGCGTGTTGACTCGGGGAGGAGCCGAGCGGAGCCGAGCCGAGCGGCGGAAGAGTACCGGAGAGAGGCGGAGGAGGAAAGGGCTGCGAGGGCGCCCCACATATACCTAATCGGAGACGTCTGTAGTGGCGGCCGCGCGCTATATGCGTGGCGCAAGTACTTGTGTGCAACACGCAGACGCCGTTTGACGTGGCCGCACCTAAATAGTTGCAAAAGGCATACGCACTTGGGAAAATCACGAGGGGGATAGTAGTACGTATACGCTCGCGCGCCCGCTGGTCGTATACATACGTCAGGAGAGGCACTGCTGCAGCTGAATACGTACCGCTGCACCAACGACTATCAGCACGAGGTACTTCCCCGCCGCGTCTAGGAAAACGGTTGCGCAGCAGAAGGCCGGTGGGCAAGGCTAAGCCGTGTTACACTATCTTACTCTATGTTACACGATATTATATGAAGTTACACCATGTCTCACGATGTTACACCATGTTGCGCGATGTTGCACGATGCTACAGTGAGGTATCCTATCACTTTCGATAAGCGTGATGATACCTGTCACATCGTGTCACATACCAGGTGGCTGATTAACCCCGCGCACTTCTGTAGTTAGACTGTACCGCACGCAGGAGTGTGGGCGGGCTTGCCTATCGCCCCTGCCCACGGCGCCTTACTGGCCGGGCGAGTAGGCAACCCGCCCGCACTCGTGCGTGCGGCACAGTCTAACTACAGAAGTGCGCGGGGTTAATCAGCCACCTGGTGCAGTATCTCGTTAAACCAAAAAGACAGTTGTAGCAAGCAAACTTGTGCGAAACAAATGACAATGAATTGAGTGCTTGTTACACTCTTTTCTTTCCTCCTATTATTTTTATCGCAGACTTTTTGCGACTTTTACCACTGTTTGCGCGGTACACACTTGTGCTGGCGCAACGGCGCGGTGTCACACATTTGTGCGGGGCGCACGGCTCGCGCGGTCGGCAGGGTGTTTATGAACGCGTTGCGTCTATTTGTGTGGCTTTGAGACGGGCGTCGCCAACTGCAGCACAGAGGCGATGCTCGGCGGGGCGTGGCGGGGCAGGGCGGGGCAGGGCAGGGCGGGGCAAGGCGGGCTGCCACGTGTGGATACGGACACCATCCCCTGGCGCCGTCACCTGTCACCTCAGTAACTCAACCCCCTGCAATGGAAGGCAAGCTGCCCCTA